GTGAGGTTCAGTATGCTTTCTAGTGCAGGAGCCTAGGGGGTTAGGGTTAATAACAAATTGGTTTCTGGGCTTACAAGTACTTCCCTTCATGCAACAGCCATTCTACAGATTGTGGATTTGAGCTTATCTGATAGAATTACATGTGCATACATGTAGTGTACATGTATGTTCTTCAACAAAAATATTTTGCACTTTTTGGAACAATAGGTACAACTTTCAGAAGTGCCAAACTCTGCCAACTTGTTCCATGATGGATGGTTGACATGGAACTTGTGATACATTTTAATCCCCTCACACAATCTGACTTCAAGAAATTTTGAACTGCTTCAGTATTTTGTAACAGTCAAAATTCACAAGTCTATCCACAAAATGCACAGGCCTTGTAGACATGTACATGATGCTCACCTTGCAATGCTTGAGTGCTTCTTTGTATTCCTTGTTCCTTATTGCTTCTCTGGCATTCTTCAGCAGTTGTTTAACCTCCTTAGTGCTACTCCCACTACTTGCCATCTTCAGATATATCAGAAATACGACTCATCCAATGTTTGTCAATGCCTACAAGGAAATGGAGGAAACAACTTAGTGAAATTATTTGAAACATTACACAAGAAATGCAGTAGTGTTGAAATTCTGTTGCATTCCCTAAATATCAAATCGATGGTAGCATGGACTTTATTAGTGTCTGTGGGATATGATATTTGGGGTCAACAGTTTATTAAAAGGTGGACGTGAAACAAGGGGTTTGGGTGACAGTCAAACTGTATGGTTGGTTTATTGCTCTCACTTCTCTTCATCAAACTTCAATATGGATTTGAAGAAGGTGTAGCTTAACATAATACAACACACAAGTTACAGAGAGGCGAAGTTGTATACAAGTGTAACTAAACTACGGTTTGGCAGGACCATTGGAAATGCAAGTCGGATGGAGTAGGTACGGTACGTGTGTGTAGCATCGCACAGCTAGGCTACATTCATCGGGCCGGGCTGGTGACTAGCAAGGGCTGGATGGGGCCAGCGCCGGTATGTACCGACCACACTGCCGCTCAGACCACAATGTGTTGAGCGCAATGATAAAGTTGCCGCACTATGTACCATTGGCTCAGCAAAGAGACGGGGAGGACTGGGGTTAGTTAGCAAGACAAGGGTGGCGAGGGACACGGGGGTGTCTCGCTCGGCGATTGATTCGGACGTAGCGGTGATGGGCTGCTACGACTCTCTCTCACACCCTGGGCTAGTTCGTAGCACTCTCGCATCGGTCCAAGCTAAGCTAGCTGGCCATTCATATAGTTACATTTCTTCACCATAGGAATGGTTACTATCGCACTTCTCTTGGAAAGGGTCCAACCGTCGCACTACATTAGGTTCCTCTCTCGTAACAAGGGTTTAGTCCGCCGCACCTGACCGACGAGCTAAGGAAAATTTGCTCTATTTATGGGATTCTAGAGGCTTAGGAATTGAGCGTTGCTGAACAGCTCAACCAATGAAAATCTTCCATCTCAAAGGTCACATGACTTCCTGCTAGTGTCGTGTGCAAGAACCTAAGTGTCATGTGTAAAAACGTAAAGTACAGAATAAGAAGTCACGTGTACAAAGTGTAGAGCCGGGTGCGTGAAAGTGCTTGCCCGGTCATCTGTGGCGAATGATTGACAGTTACAAAGTTTGAGGTTTCTGGACATTAGCTTTTCAGGGAAACTTACCACGCCCAACCACGCAGCCACATGGAGGGGAATTTCGACATGCCAAAACTGAGCACAGAAAACACATGGATATAAAGAAGTGAAGGAACACGCGATCACGCCAGAGTACAGCATGAATAACTTAATACAAAATTAGCGTCTCTGCTACATGTCCATAATGCATAGCTGAGCTAAATAAGAGACCCTGAGAAATGCAAGACCGAAAATGAGTGAAGCCCCGGGAACTGTTCTGATCAACTTTAAGAGATAATACGGCTGTTTCACAATAGTGCGCCACCAAGAGTTTGCAACGTGTTAGCCAGTGACAGTGCACGAAATTTGTCGACCCAATGCATGTTTGGAAAGGGCCGACAAATTTCACGCGTTATGATTGGCCAACGTGTTGCAAACTCTTGGTGGCGCGCTATTGTGAATTGCCTGTATTGGCTCTAGCTTCTTTAGAACAGTAAGTGCTGCCCAGCTGGGTTTAAGCATCTTTGTAAGACCTATATGTACATGTACCCGGGATGTAGATAATGAAAGGTAGAGTTGAGAGAAATATTGCCACAATTATTCATTGGGAAGTTAATCTGAGGTGAGGGCTTCTGGTGATACACAATCCTTAAATTTTACCAGCATCGAAGGTCATACACGTATGTTATAATCACATCAGCAATTGAGCCTGTTGAAATCAGTCTGAAGCACAAGCTCATCATTTGGGCATCGTATGGCAGGGTGTAATCTTGAGAATATCACCAGCTTATCAATAACACAGTTAGAAGAAACAGATGCCATGGAAACAGACACACGCTTTTCAACTTGACTGTTATATAGTGTTTTACGACAGAAACTCTCTTAAGTTTTTAAATAAAATGTAATGGTATACTAAATATTATAACAATGAGTTTATACGAGGTGTTTTCCCTAAATACATTAACTGCTGGATAAAGTGAAGAAAATGGCAGGATCAAAAGTAATTGATAACAGACTGATGTTGGTGATACATACAGACTGGCATGCTCTGAATGTGCATGTGCAACATGCGTCCCTCACCTACATGTACATGTCCATCTTTTTGCCAAGTTCTGATCCTTATACAGTGCATGTACATGAAGTTTGTGGTGAACACTCTTTTGTGTTGCTCACTATGGGCGCAAAAAGCAAGAAAAGTATGATTTTGGCCCAAAATATCAATAGACCATCTCCAGAGTTGCCTCAGGGTGATGAAGAATGTTTGTATGGATTAATATTGACCCAAAGATTTTTGGTACCATACTTGAATGCATTGAAAAGCAAAACTAAATTGATAAAAAGTCTCTCGAAAATGGCAATATACATGTATGCAGATTTTGTATTTCTTAAACCAATAATTGCATTTTCTATTTTCTGGTCAAGTAAATATGATATATAAAATTAAATGTAATTTTCTGTGGCCAAGCCACTTGAAAATGGTAGCCAACATGACCATTAAAACTGAAAAATTATTTTTGACCATTAGATTGACATATTCACAGAACTGCACACCTGTACATGGATCTATACTGCTTGTATGTTCTACTTCAGAACTGGACAGGGGAAGGGAAAAAGGCTATAGGTTATCTCCTGTTACACATAAATCTGTACCAGTGTTTCAGCCACTTACCAGCAGTAAGTACGAACACACCATGACTGTGTGGTACACATGTTCCCTGAGGCATGCATACAGACTGCTGGAGGAACTGGCTTTCAGAGGTGGCTATTTAGAATCCTTTATATATCATGGGTTAATAAGTTGGAAGGGGAAGAGACAGGGTATTTGAAGGCCCCCCCCTCCCTGGATAGCTTGAATATAAGTTAGGACGAGAAAGACCATACAAATGCAATTCAAATGAATCTAGTGGGTAAATATTTCTGGTGTTCAACTGCGGTTGGCCATTATATCTCACTGTCTCATGGAGCAAGTGGTTGCAATTAAAGAAGCTGACATTGATATATTACTTCATATTTCAAGGGAAACTCAAGCAGGAGTACAGGCACACTGTAAGTGTAAGGTTAACAACACAAGACATGGCAGACTCCAAGGTCATCACTGACAGCTTTCAGTTTGACAACGAACTTCTTCACAACAGAAGATCATCTAAGCTAGAGTTTGGTTATTCTGTTGATGGAGCCTTAACCCTAAAACACCTAGGCCCTTTTGGCTAGGATACACCCTCAATCCTTCAAAATCCTCCAAATGCCCCCATGAAAAAACTGGATACAGCCTCAGTCCTTCAAAATTCTCCAATATTTCTTGAATCTTGAATATGTTTGTGGAGGGGTGCCCACTGCCTACCGGTGATTCTTCAAAAGCCTCATGCAATTCCCCTCATTATGTTGACGCAGTCTGAACGGTATATTGGATCAGATGGAGGGTTTCGTATATAATGTGGACATGACTTTATGCATGATGAACATGTAAACAACACAAGGTCTAACCCACAACCTTAAGACAATGCATTCTGCCCAATCAGCAATGCAAATTTGCAATGCCACCTGAATCCTCCAAAACTGCCCGAAGGATTTTGAAGGATTGAGGATGGTTAGGGTTACTGACTGACTCACACATGTAAACACTTACGCAGTACATGTATACAGGGCAAGTCCCTCCAGAGAACTACATGTACCTCTTATATGGGGGAAGGGTCGCAGCATGTTCACCTTTCCCCGTCCATCAATAAATGGTTGCACCATAAATGATGGGGTGATTGCAGTGGGAAAGAATTCTACCAGTGTGTATAGGAAAATCACAATTTTCAAGTGTCAGAAAGCATAAACGATTCTACAAGGATGGATGTATTTTTAAGGGGAGTTTGGCAAGAAAAGAGGTTATGCGCCAAGGTGGAGTTGGAAGGCACAGGCTTTGTATCAGTACAAATGGCCCAAGTAAACCTATTTTAAATTCGTTGTAGCTAAAGTTGAAACCAACTACCTGTTGAAGGCTACGATGATGCATGCCTATAAGCTGGCAGTGTGAGCAATCAGGTGTGACCCTGTAGCTGGCTAATATGATAAGGGATTGACAAGTGGTGAGGTGAACAGCCTCACAGGAACTAGAAATGCATTACCTCTATATCTGCAGGGTTGTAACAACAAGGACCCTACTCGTAACTTGTTATAACTTGTTACAGTAAACCTGCTGTTTGGTTAATATCCTAAATTTAGGATAGTGAGTAAAAACTCATCCTGCATTCAGGATGTAACAAAATGGGTCAACATGTACCCAAAATATACACCCAAGTTAACTCATATCCAGGTCAACTCACACCCAGGTTACCTAACACCCAGAGTAGCTTGTGCCCGAGTCAACTCGTATTCAGTAGTGCACTGGGCAAATGGATTTTGTTGCTGTGTTTATTGTAGACCATTTATAAGATCAAATAATAACCAGTGTGAATGGCTCTGATGATGGAAGCCCATACTTCAACACATGGCACTGGTTGTGGAGGCCCATACATCAACGCA